TGAAACGGAAGCAACCTGGGACAGATTGTCTGTTCAAAGGAAATCGCGGATAAGGCAAAAATCATCTATTCATCAGATTCCAACTCAGCACCTCCTGCCACCTTGACCAACAATGCTTGCAGTATACCATAGCACAGTACAGCATAACTACATCAGAACATAGAAATACTACACCGCTGCAATACAGTACAGCTGTGGAACTACATAATTAAACATACGCCACTATACTAAACTACACTACATATACACTATATAGTGTAGACTTACGGAAATAAACAGGATTTGATGTTATAAAGGCCCCGAACCTAGTATCCCTCAGCCTCTAAAGCTTTATAGAACCTCTAAAAACCAGGTTGCTGGAGACCTAGATGCAAATCGTGCTACGTATGTACAGAAAAGCAAAGTACGACAGTCTTAAGTGAAAGTGACCGCCCTCCTAGACGTAATTCCCATTTGCATACTTACTGTTACTTCATAAGGAAATCATAAAACACGGCGTAGCTTCGACTACATAAATTATTTGCCATAGCTTAGAAAGAAACAAATTGTATTTGAAGCTGTGAATGAATGCACGAAAGCGGCTATAGACAAGTTGATTAAGCAGTTGTTAGACTCGAAATAAAAATGAAATAGCTTCAAGCGATAAGGATGTTTAACAACTCCTCAGTTAATGCAAGTAAAATTATTTAAGCACAATGGATAACGCTCGACATAAGGAAACTTCTTGTAGCGTATTGAGAATAACGGTTCTGACTTTGGAACCGTACTTGGAGCGACATACCTCGAATGGCGAAGACAGAAAACTAATACGATGGTAGAACTTATTCCGACAACGACTTTCGTTATCACAAAGGAACTCATTGCCCTCTGAATGGTTATCATCAGCCTTGTTCAGCATATAATGAAAATATTAAGTAAACGGGAGAGTTTTGTAAATAACCTCTATACTGATTGCATATATTCTAATTTATTGTAGATTTTCCATTTGCTTTAGGTGTATTTGCACACCTATCATACATAGCACATGAAGAGTATGAGCCTCTGAAGCATCGTTCGTGATCAGCGCGACGTCGCTCTAACGGAGAAGATTATGCGAGATGCATCTGGTGCTGCAGAAGCTGAAACACCATGAAGCCGTTGTCTACAAAAATGCCTCCTAGGCAACTAAGATATATGTGTATCTTCATCTTCCATGACCGCTTCTCATTTCGGATTGCGGAGGCAGATGCGCCAGACACTCCTTCCACATATTTGCACTGGTAAATCTTGACCGTGCCCGGGACCTTCTGCTAATCAGTTGGGCAAGAATTAGTTCTTTCACCTTTCGTTTTGGAGACACTCGCAAAAGGTGTCCAAACCATCACAGCTGTGACTACTCAATCAGAAGAAGCGGCTGTACGCCAAAGCTATCGCGGATGTCTGTATTCTGCACCAAATCGAGACATGTAAGGCGACTCGTCTCAGAAATCCAATTTTAGCCGTTTGTATACGGTATCAAAGTTTTTCAGTCATCGCCCATGACTGATGACCGTACGTAAGCATGGGGATAAAGATCGACTTGAATGCCAAGGGCTCAGTTTTCAGACTGAGCTCTGCTTTAGTCACAATGGATTGGATTAGTTCATGCAGAATGCCACAGGCTACTCGATCTCTTCCTTCAAATTTCCCTTAGTAGTAAATACGACTCCGAGATACTTGAACTTCTCCACTTGCTCCATAGCCTCTCCGTCGATCTGAAGACAGCAAACGG